TTTCGTCCGCCTCCAGTTCTAGTGTAGTAACAACTGTGAGATGGTCTGAACTACCATGTGCGTCTAAGGATGACAGTGAAAGTGGTTCGCATCCCCTACATGTCTTGCGATTCTTTCCAAATCTACATTGGGTGGCTTTAACTTATTCATCCACATGTCTGAGGCCTTCAGGGCAGCCAATTCTTCGAACGCTCTCACATAGACACCAGGAATATATCTTAGATCGGCTGTGTCCACTGAAAAAGACGAGTGTGCTCTTGAACTTCTCCAAAGCGTGCTTTGAATGACTGTAGGAGACTGGATGGAAAGGTAATTAGCTGGTGCAGATAAAAGTTTTGAGTGGACTCACTTATTCTGCATGTATCGAACACTTGAGATTTGGTGAAATTTTCAGTACTCTTCAAGGTTTATGTATGTGCAGAAAGAAGAGTAGGGGGCTCAAGGCCATGGCTTGCAAAACGCCACATGTGATCAGCTGAGGATAATCAGCTAATACCTATTAGAACCTTCTGGCGGTGGTTAGACAAGGAGGAATCAATGAAGTCAAGAAAATAAGGACGGATGCCAAGGGCTTGCATTTTCACCTGAAGACTTCTGTGTGGTACCTTGTCGAAGGCTTTGCTAAGGTCAAAGTAAAGTAAAACTACTGATTGCTGCTCATTACGAAATAAGAAAAAGCTAATTAGCATGTTTCGCATGACCTCCCAGGTAGTAAACCATGCTGCGAGTCGCTTAAAAGCATGCTTGTAGTGGTGGCTGCTCTTCGGCGCCCTCCATTGCTTTGTCCGTCGTCATTGTTCAAGGCCAGCCGCGTCAATGTCATCCAATACCTCAGTCAGTGCTTACAGACGCGCTGACTTGCAGAGACTTGACCTACTTCCACTCCGACACACACATGCCTCTAGGTTCTCGCGGCTGCCCAAGCACCACTAGAACATGTCCCTTTATCCTCACCCTCGGCCGCCAGACATCACTTGGGACCCGGCCAGTCGCCTGGGTGCTCCTGTGCTCCCAAGTCCAACTTCTTCCATCTTATTCTCCGCTCCTCTGCG